AATTCTTTTTAAAGCGCTTTTAATTAAAAGCCTTGTACAAGAAACACAGAAAAACAACAACAATAACGGATAACATGACACTGAATACATAATCTGTACAGCAAGGGCTTGCAAAACATGCTTGAGAAGTTCAAATACATTACAACGTCATCATTAGCCTCCACCTCCACATCATTACCATCAATACAATGTACATAATTCATATTAGCAACAAAAAAAAAACAGACAAAACTGCAGTCTTGACACATAATTCATTTTCTGATAAAAACCCATAATGGAATATTTTTTTAAAAATGGCATTCAAATAAACGGCAACACAATAAACATCATTATGCATATTTTAAAAAAGTAGTAAAGTACAGTACAAAGAAGAAAAAAAAAATGCGTAAAAACAAACAATTCGTCATTAATTGAGCATATTAAGTCTTACATTTAGACGTGGATCCTTCCTTTAATTCGATAAGAGCCAAAGAAACCTAGCACTTTGAAATCACGACACATACATGTAGAACAATTTAAAAAGGGAAAATGAGTAAAAAGTCAAATAATCAAGAGCCCTATTTGGTTGAAAGACAGGCCACTAAGTGGAGTTGTGCTACCCCCCATGTCAGAAATAAAAACGAAGAGTCCACCTTACACATCTACCAGCTGTCATTTACCACCACTTTGAGATAAGAAAGACACAGGACATGAATAAAGTCTAGCCCAAATGACAGTACGTCCGTTTGGAGAAGAAACCGATTCCTTATCTCAGAGCTTGAACTTATCAGGATGCAGGAAGTGTCGTCTTTAGAAAATACCTTCATTTAAGTTTGAGCTTTAGAAAACTTGTATTTCTTCATATCAAGGACGCTTCATTTTGGAATAAATCCTTCCACTCCTAACTTATTGAGAGCACTGAAACAGTTGTGAGCACAGCTGGAACCACCTAGCGCATGCATGAGGGGGGGAGTGATGTCATCCCAAGCTGTCAGAGACGGAAACCATGCCGCTCAACAGAAACGGTTTAAAGTTCCCGTGATGCGATCCTTATGAGTTGTGGAGCTAAAGCTACGGTCAGCAAAGAGCAATCTGATTTGTTCTGAGAAAAACAATGGAGGTGCATGGAGCAGCTATAAGGCAACGCATGCAGAGGAACTATTTCACATCCAGGTCTGGAAAGGGCACCAGAAAAAAAATGACCTGTTTCGAGAGTACTTAATTACTTCTTAAAGGCTTCCAGCTTAAAATAAAATGAAATCAAACTCCAGGAGATGGAGGCAACCTGCATGTCGACGTGCCCTCCGAGACCCAACCTCCTTCCAAACCGACAGAGGAGGTCAGCGGCACCAAGTTCTCCTCCAATCACAAGCAGACTGCGCGTTTCCTTTATCTAATCCTCCTTATTGAGGCGATAAAAACAGGGGAAAACTGAACAAATTCAAATGTATTTGTCACCCAGAGGATCATTTAACCTCGGGGTGGTTTTAAATGTGGAGAGCGAAACGGGACGGGGGGGGTGGGGGGGGGGGTTATTTTAGCTTGTTTGACTTTGACGGGTCAGTGTGTTCTCGGGTCTAATTCCCCTACTGCCGCTCTGTGTGTGTGTGTGTGTGAGCTCCAGAACACATGTTCGATCAGAAGTGAGGTCATTAGCGGGTTGCGTTAAGACCTCGGCACAGCAGATGGCGGCGAAGCGGGGGGTCCGAAACGAGGCTGTTCTCTCCCCTCTCGCGAGCACAATTAAAAATGGCGAAAGACAAGAGAGGGGTATTCAACAAGGCAAACATCGTTCTTTTTTTTTTTTTGCACATTTACAGCTTATGGCATTCTTTTTGCTCCACTAAGAGATCCATGCAGAGAAACACCGGCTCCCCTCAACACACCGGGCCGGTAATGTCTTTAAAATGAACGCGCGGGTTTGAATCTCTACAGAAATTTACGGCTTCCTCCATTTTCTGATGTAGCCCTATGAGTAGCAAGAAGACACTGGGAACAATGCTACACACACACACACACACACGCGCACACACACACACACAGACCACTTCTATCAACACCAGTACCAGTTACAAAAAAACCCCCGAAAAAACCAAATAACTGACTGACAAGAAATAAAAAGAAAAAAGTGCTAAAAAATTTGTCTACAAGCCAAACTGCTTGGTAAAAAATGTTTTAAAAAATAAAATGACAAAAAATGGAGTTCACCATTGATCGTTACAAGCCAAAACGGCTTGCTTTCATTTTCAAAAGAGAGCTGAAAGGAGGGCCAACAAGTCCTCTGGCTCAACAGACTTAACGTTTTTGGCTTCATTTCATCGGGGGCTGCTGGACTTTCTGGGCCTTTGCGATGAGGGAAGCTATAGGTGGTAGCTCTCTCACGATATTTCCCAAACAGCGGGGGGAGAAAGCTCGGGGCGTTGGCGGACACGACGGGGCCGAAGAAGGTGGCGGGGTTTGTGAGAAATCAAGGCAAGTTGAGGAAAGACTGCAAGGGTAGCAATAACTTAAAATCTACTGTGTTTTTTTGTTTTATTTTGCAGCTTTCAAAGGTTGTGCGCGCATATAAATACCGACTCATACCGTACGTATATGCATGTGCGTTAAAGAGAGCATTTCAAGGCCTTAAAGTATTGAACTACATTGAAGACTATGCTTTTTTATTTATTTATTATTCTTGATGCGGTCAAGTGCATGTTACGTTGCCATGTCCGGGGGTTCAACGGTCGTAAGTGCAAAAAAACACATCTCCTCGTTTAACGTCGACCGGCTGGACCTCCAGGGACACCAGAAGTGTGCATCCGAATTTGAAGGTTTTTCTTCTTCTTTCTCTATCTTACAGCAAGTGTGCTTGATGGAAGTTTGAGCCCACACGTGAGATGAGTGAGCGATATATTGTTAGGACAACTCTTATTGCACCAAACAGGTAAGTGTGTTTCCAGTGGAGGGGAGAGCAACGTTCCCCCTCCACGTCCGAGTCGACGCAGTGCAAGTGGACACGGTATGGCAATTTGAAGTGACGAGAGGGGCGTATTAGCTGCCCCTTTTTTTTTAAATTCATATATCTCTTTCTAAAAAAAATATGCTCTTTTTTTTCTCTCCTACTATTCAATGGCTGGGCGGCGTTGAGTACATTAAATTTCCCAAATATGGACACACCCCTGTGGGGTAAACTAGGGGTAGGGTTGGAGTGGCAACACTGGCATGATGGGTTTTGTTTTTAAATCGAACCCTAATGGAAATTCAGAATACGAGACATCTTATGGCTTAGACGGCAAGGAGTCCTCGGAGGTGGCGGCAGGAGGCGGGGGGGAGGAGGAGGAGGGGGCGTTTTCGTTGCTCGCCGAGGGCGAGGCCGGGCCGGACGCGGGGGAGGGGAACTCTTTTATGGTCACGGTGACCAGGTTGGTGGTCACGTCTGTGACCACCACATCCTTGCAGCTCGGCCCCATTTCGGGGTGCCAGTCGGGGTCTCCTTCGGCGGGCACTCTCTGGGGTCCGGCCGGGGCGGGGGTCTGCTCCCCGGCGGGGGCCGGGGGGCACGCGGCGGGCGGCTGGCGTCTGGCTTTGCGCTGGCAGGGGTTCTTCCTGCCTCCCTCCGTGGGCTGGGAACGGTCCACATCTTCCTCATCCTCTACCGAGGAGGACGGAGAGGAGGGCAGGAACCCCGCGGCGTCTGCGGACTCAGCTTGGGCGGGGGGGCTCCGAGCCTTTGGGGTTTCTCCGGGAGCTTTCCTGGACTTGGAATACTTGCCAGCGGGGGATGCTCTGGTGGCCGGTTGGGTTTTGGCGGTGGCCGAATCAGCGGTGGACTTTCCTTCGGAGCCGCTGGAGCTGGAGGGGGACGGGGGCGACTGGTACTGGGAGGAGGTGCTGTGGCGGTCCCGGGCCCCCCCGCCGGAGCAGGACCCGGGGTGAGAGGGAAAAGGCACGGGGCCCCCGCACTGCAGCCCGAACGGCTTCCCGTACATCGGGAAGCCCAGCATTTTCAGAGGGGGCTGGAAAGGTCTGTAAGGGGCCTCGCCCTTCTTACCGATGATGCGGTTGCGGGAGGGGATGTTCTGGCGTCCGGCCGCCGCGCTCCGGCCGCCGGCGGGGGCGCCGCCCCGTCCCGGCTTGTCGATCACCTTCAGGTTGAGGATGATCCGGCCCCTCTTGACCTCCCGGGGCTTGACCCTGCGGTTGAGGATGCGGACGGTCTCGGAGAACGGGGAGACGTGCATGCGGGAGGGGAAGCCGCCGGGGGTGGAGAAGGCGGGCGCCATGGGGTCCGAGCGGGGCAGCGGGCGCCTGGACATCCGGTGGCAGCGGTGAATGTCTTTCTTCAGCTTGTGGGTGGCCGCCAGCGAGTTGAGCTTCGGAGAGGGGGCCACAGTGGAGGAGGAAGAGGAGGAGGAGGACAGCGAGGGCAGCTGATGAGTCGAGGCAGACGAGGAGGGAGCCGCCTGGCCGGAGGCGGACGAAGAGGACCGCGGTGTGCTCGGGCGGCTGCTAGAAGCACGGCTGCTGCTCTCTCCTTTCTGACCACGAGCCTGAGAGAAAAAACGAGTGGGATCACGATATTATTCAAATAAATGCATCACAATTGACTTTTTAAAAAAAAAAGAAAACTTAAGCCAACTCAGTGGAATTACTTTCTAAGCTAACATCTATATGACTGTGATGTGACTCTCAGGGCTGATTGGCTCAAACAAACTGCAGCTGCAAGAAGAAAAGCAAGACAGCACAGACGCTTTTCAGCAGAAATCTTTCTTTATGTTACTGTCAAAAGACAGGACATAGAGCGGCGTCTGTTCAAAGAACAGGACTTAAAATAGACTTCAAAAAAGGCAAGAGGCCTGTCCACAAACATAATGTTTCTACGTGCCCATAAGGGGATGCATTGTAGCTGGAACTTACACACACACTTCATTAGATATATAATGGCTGTAAAAGAGGCAAGGCGGAGAATTATTTAAAAAGAATGTACCTTAATTACAAAGTTTTTGGGTTTTGGTCCCCGTTTCTTTGGCCCATGCATTTCCCTTTCTCGTTCCCTTGAAAAGAAAAGGAGAAAGGAGAAAAAAAAAGAAAGAAAAAAAGGCGGTTATAACCGTGCAGCAATAATAAAAACCAAAGGAGACAAGAAGCAAAAAAGAACATGACAATGAGAATCGATACAACAAAACGCGAGGTGACAGCCATGAAAGTTGCAGGGTTGTGAAAGTAGAGCATGCAGGCACAGAGAGCGTGTGAAGCCCCGCTCTCGCATCCATTTTTGTTTCCTTTTGATGTGTCATTTTAGTTTTGGGTTTCACGCAAACGTCTCTGTGAGCTGCACGAGGTCTTTCAAGTGGCCTGGCAAGATGCAAAAAGAGATTCAGCTCAGGATGCAAAATGTTGCATTTCTACTAAACGGCTGCGGTTTAGGTTAGTTTTTAAAACAAGGTGTCTTTAACAGTCAATTGTTGGGCAAATGAATGGAATCCCCTTACTCAAAGCAACAACCAGCTGTCACAGAAAGCTACTTCTGTATGGCAGAATGCTCTGGGATTGTTTAAGTGATGAATCTTAAACAGGGTGATCAACAACAGTGGACAACACTGCGCATCTTGTACACAACAAACTGGAGGGGGAAAAACGTGTCTTCAGCCAGAGGCTTCTGCAGCCTGGCTGCAGGTGGTCATAGCAATAATGTTGCTCATTCCATTTATAAGTTATGAGGGGGGGTGTAAAATATAATGTAGCCGTGTTTTACTATGCAGATTTTCCTGAAAAATGCCTGAATTAGACTTTGGTATTAAAAGGTTGTCTTCAGTGCAGCTATATCATGGTCTTACTTTGATAAATACAAATGGAACCAAATTGTTACTGTCCAAATCTTTGTGAATATGCCCATATGCTATAAAGATGAACATGGGCCAAAGCAAACAAATCATACAGGCCTGAAAAAAAAAATCCTCTTTGTTTTAAAGCAGAGAGATTAAGTAATGCTTCTCAAACAGAACCATAACTTAGATAAATAAATAAATAAACGAAGAAAGACACAGTGCATATCTATGAAAAAGAAACTGAAGGTACTCACTTTTGCTCAAAGCCCAATATCAGCCTGTCATCCAGAATATTTTCCTCTGGCTCCCAAGTGCTGTGCCTTCACAAGGTAAACAATCGAATACACAAAACAAAGGACACAATGTTAATGAATTCCTATTCCACAGGAAGTCAAATAGGACCCGCACTTCTGGATGTGAGGATACCAATAATGGTATGTCAAAAGAGCGTACATACATGAACAACAGGCTATATAAATATTGTTTGGAATGGCACTTACTTCATTGCCCATCCTTTCCATTTGACCAAGTATTCAATTCTAGCCTGTAAAACAAAGGTGTGTCAATGGATTATCAAAAAACGATCCTGGATGAGAACACAGATTGGAAAAACACTTAAGAATGAAGCACATTTCAAGTTCATTATTGCTCCGTCTTCGGAATCATAACTTTGTAAGAGGGATTTAAAGTAAAACACAATATTGTAAATTGAATCTCCATTTTAGTCTAAATAACTCCTTCTCAGGTTCTGCATAAGTCTCATAGACACTGTTTAAAAGACAATGGGGTGTTACAAATTCCTAGTTTAACTAATTATGGCATATTTTCAGCCATCTTTACTTTCCTGAAGATCTTTACTTTTCCTTACAAAAAAGAAAAGGAGTGCAGCTGTAAAGTTTTTAGCAGGAAAATCATTAAATGCTGGTCATTAGCACCCGCAACTTCTAATGGAAACCTAGACTTTTCTACAAGGTCTTTTCCAGCTGCAAAAAGCTTCTTTGAAAACTTCCACAAGTCTTTCTTTTCTTTGTCGTCAACTAGAGAGACTACTCTAAAAAAAAAGACTTCCATGAGAGCAGGATTAGTACTTTGATAACCATCTTTTACATTTTGCAAATTAACTCAACAGCCTTGAACAGCCTTTGATGTGGGAGCCACATCCATGCAGGCTGTTAACTGCAGATTATGACTACATAGCCTCAGCTACCATTAGCTGGCAAAGAAAAAGCGAGCCTCTCCATTTCAAAGAACTGCCCTCACATCCAGTGGGATGGGCTGCCTCGTTCCTCCGCATCTAGACCCTTCTTTGTGTCGCTGTTTTTTGTGTTGCCCCGCCAGTGTCTGGAGCTAGAAGTCATCATTATTCGGAGCTTCGCTAGTTAGCTGCTGGCTAGCACTGGTTAGCAATGTATAGGCATCCGCCAGCCACACAAGGCCTCCATAGCGTTGCATCGCGGTGAGACAGCCCCAGAGCCTATGGACGGAGGGGGACCGGGGTGGGGGGGGTAGTGCCGCGGCCAACATCCGCGAGCGGTCGCAGCACGCGGGATGGTGTCGGCTCACCTTCCGAACGCGGCGCTTCAGGATGGCTTCCGCGGCGAATATGCGATCTTCAACCGCCGAGTTCATGTCTCATGCCCCGGGCTTAAGCTCCCTGTCTCCGCTGGTCTCTCTCTCTCCGGTCGGCAAGCTCCGCTGTTCGCGCGGGGTTGACCACAGCCAAACAGAGCGGGGCGGCTACAGACGCACATGCAAGCACAAACTACACGATCCTTGGGGAAGCCAGGAGGGTCATGTCTCACCCGTGGCAGCCGCCGCTCAAGCGCGCCACCTAGCGTCCAGTGAGGGGTGGCACAAGCGAGGACAGAAACTTTTTCTGTTTGACTGACGATATTTTCTGCGTTTATCACTGACACATAAGGAAATGTGGAAGAAAAAAAAAGATTTGTACTTTTGTGATATCTTGCTAAAGTTGTGGTTCCCTAACAACGTTTTTTTCTGGTAGATATCTTCCATTTTGGTTCATTTCAAGATGTGATTTTCTTGATTTGTCAAAGTTCCACTCATTTAAGAAGGTAAAAAAAGATTCAGTTGTCCCTGCAGCCTCCTGTTTGGTGCCACCACTAACAGTTTGTGTTCCTGTGGTGTCATGTCCGCTTTGAGCCCCTGTTGTCCTCCTGTTTGGTTTGTATTATCCATTTAAAATAGCAAACATGTCTTTTAGGTTTCCATTTTCTGTTCAGTTTGTAAATAATTTTAAATGGTCCTTTTGAATGTTTTTTTCTTTTAATTATTCATTCAATAACAAATGTTATGACCGTGATACACTGCCATAAACCTTTCTTTTATTACCATTGAACTAAGCCATATCAGTGGTCTGTGTTTCACACCTGGACCTTTTTTGTATATGTATTCAGTTGATGTATCCTTTAAACTAGTGTATTCCAATCATGGTCCTTAAAGCACACTGCCTTGTGTGTTTATTTTATTTAATTTTTTATCATGGCAGTATAACGGACAGACATAACACACAGGAGCTCTCACAGCTGACCCTCACACACAGGAACATGTGATGTTTACACCAATCAGTCTTCTGCTTAGGGTCTGATAATCACTCATCCTTTGACCTTCATACAATCACAACTTAAAGCTTTTTCTGATCGTGTCAAATCTTACTTCTGTCTGTGTTTAACATTTACTATCAGTGTTCTGGTGATTTACTTGACATTTGACCTTTTTCATGAAATTTTCTTCATCTCTGTCTTAAACAGTTTGGAGTTTTCACTTTTTGCAGGAACTTTCCACTTATCTTTAAAAAGGGTATCTTCAAATAGAATTCATACAACGAAAGACTTTCAAGTGGAGGAGGTGGTGTCAACTATAATCTTTGGGACTTACTCTCCTGTTTCACAATTTTCACAATTTCACATTACATCTTAAATCTTGAGGCAAAAATGCCAACAAAGCAAGTAAATGACGCACCAGATGTTCGCAGCACTTAATAGAGTTTAAATCTCTTAAATGGAAAGTGCCTTAAATGGATTTTTTCTTCAGTGAAATGGGACCTTTTTTTAATTTCCATACAGCAGTAGGCCAGGGGTAGCAGCAGTAGCACAGCAAGTCTGCTGTTTCTCACGTGGCCCTTTGGTCGCCCTGGCAACGAAGATGCAAATAATGTTTTTTAGCTCTTAGATGCCCATGATAACATCACTCTGAGATGCATGTTCTCTAAATAAGAATAGAGTCACCTATGATTTATTGATTAAATTGATATTTTAGGGCTATTTAGGGTTAAAGAGAATCCCAGCTATAGTGATGTGTCTTTTTCTGCTTTTCTTCCACAGCCGTTTTAGTTACAAAATAAAAATGCATTGCATAAAAAGTCAATTCATTTATACGACGTTTTGTTTTTCCTTTTTTCCTTCTACTTAAACAACAGAACTAAGAACACGTGTACTGGAAATTATTTACACAAAAAGACTAGTTTTTCTTGTATTTCTTTCCATTGTGTAGAAACCGGGAGATCTTGATTAGTCATGTCCCACCCTTGTAGCCCAGCAAGTTTTTCAGCTGTACTCGGATTGGCTAAAAATGCGTCAATCAAGATCCTCAGCAAGGTTGGTTGAAGAGGCGGCTGTTGATGTAGCTGTCAGAAGTCAGACGGTCAGCGCATAGAGCAGCTAGCAGGTAATCTGTCTGGTTTTGTGCCACTTAATGCGATTAAGTACTGTTTGTAAATACCCAACTGTAAAATATTTCCCCTCTAAAACAATCTAGGCAGAAAAATGATGTACAGATGCGTTTGAGTGTACACGCTGTGTGCTGCTTTTAGCAATATTGCCTTGTCCTGTCATTCTGACTAACTTGAAACACGCGACTGACATGAATGCAGCCACCACATCCTGATTTAAATTGGAAACAGTCTCGTTAATTGACATTTGTCAAAAAGAGGGTCATGGAGTGAGAGGGGACATAGTTGACAGCTAACTTTAGTTCTGCTAATTAAGACACTTCTATAAAATGTATCATTATTGATTTAAGGGGAGATCATCACTCAATTAATATCAGAGTAAAGACTTTATGTTGCCATAAAATGCTATATCTAAGCTATTACACTTGTTGCTTCTCCTGAGGGATGACATCCTGTCCTGGGGATAATATAAATCATTCATTAATGCTGGCAACAGACCCACAGGCTGTGGTGAGCTACCACAATGGGCAGGTCGTAATGGCTCCATTAGCAGTAATGCTAAATGTATACTCTTTAATTCAGATAGTCATCCATCATTTCTGTTTTTTCTCAGGTTACAATGCAGTTCCTGGGTCGGCTGCTGGACACAGTGTCCTCTGTGTCTACCCTCTTCACAAACCCGTACCGGGTCAGAGATGTGCCGCTGTCTGACTACGGAGGAGGAAGCAAAGAGCTGTTGAAAGAGGACGGTCGCATACTCCTGTACAAAAATACACAGTGTCATTCATGGGACTGTCTGCTTATGTGCCCAGAGACACCAGGTGTGGTTCTGAGGTGAGTATGGATCACATCATGGGATGCTAGTGTTGTTCAAACATTAGCATGGGGTTAAAGGTGCAGATAATTGATAGGCTCTGGTTTTCCGATTCCATGCAGATGATCTTGTTGAATTAGTGTCTAGAGGTTACAGTAGCCGTGCGGCCTAAACAAGCTATTCAAGATTCTTTAAAACTGTTAAAAGCTGTTAAAATGTGTTTAACTGATCTTCAATGCGAAATAATATTTACAAATCAGTAAACCTTTCCAGGGACTAGAGAGATAGGACAAATAAAAACATACTATTTTACCAGATTTCAAAACAAGTTGACTTGACTTGTTTAAAATGTCAGTTGTGTATCCTTTAACCACTTAAAATAATATATGTCCATTTCTTTCAGACAAGGCAATAAATAATGCAACAAATAGAATGTTATCACTCAAGAGGAATAGTTATTGCTCTTTTTATATTTCACCTTTGAATTTGATTTAATTGGTCACTGAAACAAGTCGGTCACAACCACAAAGGCTACAATTTAAGTTTCCTCATGCGCTTTACCTACCCTAGTTTATAACAAGTGAACTATATGCAGGTTGTTCCAGGTGGTTTCAGAGGAGGACGCCATGAACTGGTTCCCTCAGTACGCCCTCAAACTCCGACCCTTCTATGAGATACTACCTCTGAAGCCAGAGACCGCGCAGACAATCGTGGACTGCATCCGCAGCCACCCGGACTGGAGCTCCGCCCACATTGCTGTGGAAACAGGCCTGAGAGAGTGTCTCAAACACAACTATGTTCAGAGGTAAAACGGGAGTTGTCATTTTTATTTATTTATTCATTTTTAATTACTGGTCTGCTCTAGTTTGATTAAAAACGGGTAGCACTTTCAATTTTCAGAGCATCATCTTAGTATCACATTAGATAGAAATAAATGGATCTGCCCGAGATTACATTAGGTTACATTTTTAAAAAGCCGGTAAGGAAATGCACGTTATTAGCAATGTGTAGTTTATTTACACTGATGGGGCTTCAAAGCACTTAGCAGTCAATCTGAAGCTTTTAAGCCATTAGCTATGATTTAGCCCTCCATGTTCCCAGCAACTGGCCGTGTATCTATGACTGTGAACATGTTATCACCATATTATAAATTTCAGATAAAAACTTCAGTGTTTGGCCATTGAAGAATATTGTAGTTTGCAAGAGGTGTTTTAGGGAATTTTGATATGAGAAATAACTTCTGAAATTCTGAAGCGTCATAAAATTGCAGTTTTGCTGTGAAATGTCAGAGTAAGATGGCTGCAATGGACACATCCAAATTAGTTGTGAAAGCTCTCCTTACTTGACCTGTATTACCACCCGAGACATCCCGAGCTTACAAAACAGCACGAGCTCCATAAAACCTTTCATAATCTCAAGTGATTGAACTTTACAACCGTTTAATTTCAAAACCACCACTTCCATCCTTCAAACTCTTAAGGTCCTATAGATATCTCTGTTAGAAAAAAACTTTCTGCCTTCAGTCAGATCAATGCTCGCGATGCGTCGGGTCAGACGCCCCTGCACCTGGCCTGTGACCGTGGTGACCTGGCATGTGTCAAGGAGCTGCTGGAAGAGAGCCAGGCCCGTACTGACATCAAAGATCAGAATGGAGAAACCCCTATGCACTATGCCTCCAAACAGGATTCTCCTGTCATCGTACAGGTTAGACCCAGCGGCTTGAAGGGCATCTAGGTTACATAAGGAAAAATTACAGTTGTTTTAATATATTTAGCAGGTCACTGTCCAGTATATCTCTGACTAGCATTATCTTCACTCTCTATTCCCCACATTCAGGTCCTGTGTTCACGCTTGTGCTCAGGGGTTGATGAGCTGAATAAGAATGGCGAAACGCCGCTCCATGTGGCCTGCCGTTTGGGACGGGTGGAGTCTGTGAAGGCCCTCCTGGGGGGTGGCGCTAAGTGTAATGTCATTGGTGGCATAGGCTACCCCATCCACACCGCCATGAAATATAGTGAGAAAGGGTGAGTTAGAGTAAGACTCTGTGAGTCTTAGTCTTTTTTTTTTTTGCACCCAATTATGTGATGCAATTGAAACTGTATTCTCCCCTTTTGTGCAAGAAGTTAGAACAATTTCACAGTTAAACCCCGGGGATGAACGCCTACTATCCAGTCACTTTTGCAGGGCACCTGCTGTATAGACTGTAACAGTAAAAAGATCAAAACCGAAGCCTGTGTGCTGATCTCCTGATGGAAATAGTCACAGGCTTTGGTAAATATGTTTTGAATTGTAAATGATTTCTATTATATGTTTTGTGTCTGTTAGATGTGTGGAAGAGATCCTGAAAGCAGACCCAGGCCAGCTTCAGGCTCAGGACTGTCTGTATGGAGGGACCCCTCTGCACTGGACCAAAACTGCTGAGGTCATAAATACTATATCACATGTTCAGTTATTCCAAAATGAATCTGTAGTGAGACATTCAAATAACATATCTATAATGCTGTGGTGCACATCTGGGAAAATGCATATGTTGAAACTGGAATAGATGTCTGTCATAACAATTCAAGAAGTTTAGAAAAACCTTTAATCCTGGATAAATCTGTAACACAGGTCCCTGGCTGGCTGTAACTGTGTAGCTTTGGGTGTTAAACTAAGGTGTGGGTGTGAAACTGATGAGAAGGGTCAGAATCCAACTAAATGTCTGCATTTTGGTCTCAGATGTGTCGTCTGCTGCTGGAGCACGGCTGTGAAGTGAACTATCTCAGTAAGACCGGAGAGAGCGCCCTGCACATTTTGACCAAACGGGGACGCTTCGAGGCTGCGATGGTGCTGCTCACACACGGGGCCAATGCTAACCTAAAGGGTCAGGATGGAAACACAGCTCTACATCTAGCAATGAAGGTTTGTCCACAAAACAGTCAGTTTGCAAGAGATGTATTTTTCAGTAGAGTTGTACAGTTCTGTTTTTCAAAAGCAATATATATGCACAGAGCCCTGAAAAACTATATAACTCAATTTTTTGCACATATTTATTAGATATAAATGGGTGGGATGTTTTACACATATTTTTTCTGCTCTTTAGATGGACCACATGGATTTGATCAAAGCTCTGATTGTGTTTGGAGCTGATGTGGAGATCCATAACGACCTGGGAGAAACTCCAGGACTCATTGCTGCACGTACCAGCAAAGGTAAGCGAGAGGAAGGGGATCTGAGAATCCTAGCCCCCCAGGGGTCATTCATACCCCGGATTCAAAGGTGTAGACTAGGGTAGAATCGGGTCTAAAAAGAACATTACGTTTTGCAAGCCTGGGTTTGGATTGTGAATACTAACAATGAAATGAGCACGTATTGTGTCTGGATGAACCAAAACTGTGTGAATTTATGGAGTATTGTTTCAAAAACTCTGATCCAGTGTAAATGCCAGCATTCTGCATGGAAGTTGGTGTGTAAAATGTTGTTTTTATGCTAACTATACTCACTACAGTTTTTAACACAACAGAGACTATTATTTTCCATTTTTAATTTTTAAAATGTTGTATTAATAGAGGGCATGTATGCAAAGTTTAAAGTTTCCTCACACCTTAGAAAATGTAGTCGCACACCTGTTTGACCGTGTTGTGCTATATTTTTCTCATTTTAAATTATCTCGTCATTGTTTTGTTATAATTTCGGGAAAATATTATTTTATTTCGTTGTTCATACTCAACATACAGTACCTGCTCCTCAACAGTAGAGGGTGATACTGAAAGCAGAGTGGCATTTCATTATATTTGATTTTCTTTTTTCAATCAAGAATCAGTGTCGTATTTTCATTACAGTGTCGTTTCATCTATCGGCACCTTTCGTCTTTAAAGCCTCACACATGGTGCAGAAACTGTGGTAGATTGAGGCTGATGTAATTTAAATTTGAGAAGCATGGTAACTGTTAACAGCCTGCTTGTCTTCTTGCCTTTTCTTTCCTTCTCTCTGTTTTCTTTGTGTCCCTCCATCTAATCTGTGTCTTCTCTCTGCTGCCTGTGCCTCTCGTGCATGGCTAACACCTTTGCTTGTGTGTGCGCGTTTGTTTGTGTGAACACTAAAGGTCCTAATAGAAAGATACTGCTGGACATGCTGTGTAGTGTAGGAGTCCAGCGTTGCCTTCCTCCCTCCCCTGGCAGCCCTCCTCCCATCTCCAACAAGGCCAAGCCTGGAGGCATAGGTAACGCCATCGCCCCTCAGCTCCGCCTCACCTCCCTGATTATTTTGATTTCTTTCATATTGATAGCATCTCAATGTCGGAGTTTTGTTTCTCCATCTTACCTATATTGTTTTTTTACATATTACTTATTTAGTGTACTGAACATAGACTTCAAAACATTTTATAGAATCATTTTAATCATAGTTTATAGCATTGGCTGAGATGAATGTACCTCCAGGAATTTTTCTGTTTAAGTAATCACGATGTACAGACAGAAGTAATCAAGTCTCATTTATGTGCTCATTCTTTTTTCAGTGAAACCGTTTTTGGAGTTGGAGTTGTTTTCTCATACTGTAAAATCCCCAGAACCCTCCTCTCTCCTCTCTCCTTTGTGCATGGGCTTTAGTACACGTGTTTATTTTGGATTAAGGGCTTTTGTGATTGCAGGCTTTGAGGACATTATGTATGTCGGAGCTGCCATCGGTGCAATTAACAGAGGACTAACTGAAACCGATGGCCCAAAATTAAAGAAGAGGAGGTAAGTGTGGAAACATTGTTCAGAGGGATTGGGATCAGCAAAAGAAAATGGTGCACTATTTGTCTTTTCCCGATAGGAGGATATGTAGAGATTTGTTGTTTAATGTTCAGAATTCAATAATTGCATATTTAAAAAAAAAAAGTAAAAATCATTAAAGCATGTTTTCTAGAAACACGTCATGCTTTGATAACTCTGTTCTGAATATTCTTTCCCCCTTCATGCAGGCTGGAGAGGCTGTTGTCCCTAGATGGTGGAGGTATCAGAGGCCTGGTGCTGATCCAGATGTTGATTGCTCTTGAGAGAGAAGCAGGACGACCCACCAGAGAGCTCTTTGACTGGATAGCCGGCACAAGCACGGGGGGTATCCTTGCCCTCGCCATAATCCATGGTATGTGTTTGTATTTCCGACTCACATCACAGTGTTGATAGTGTATTATGTGCTGCTAAAACAATAATGGTGTGTCTTCTTTGTGCAGGTAAGTCTCTAGAGTACCTGCGCTGCTTATATTTTAGGATGAAGGAACAAGTTTTCAAAGGGTCAAGACCCTATGAATCAGCACCACTGGAGGACTTCCTGAAGAAAGAATTTGGGGAAAACACAAAGATGACAGATGTCCAGTACCCAAGGTAACAGTTCATGTTAAAACGTGACATAGGGCAAAAGGCAGAGCAGCAGTTCAGGCTCTCACACAGTTCAACGAGTTAGCCTGTAAATAATAACGTTGTAATTCCTGATGTTTAGCTTTTTGTTTTCAGATTTCATTATGAACAGAAATGCTACTTTCTTTCCTAGTATTCCTTTTTCTCTCTGCAGAGTGATGGTGACCAGCGTTCTGGCTGATAGACATCCAGGAGAGCTACATATCTTCAGGAACTACGACCCGCCATCTCTTCAAAGAGAGCCCCCGTATGCCACCACTGCCACCTTCAAACCTCTCACTATTCCACAAGGTACGGGCGGACCGGTGGCCTTCAACACAAATGTAAATGTGAATGTGTTTTGGGTCAGAAGGAATATGAAGAACATTTGTGATACCACCAGACTGTGGAACACAAACAGCTCACCTAGCTGTTTGAACTCTAAGTAAGCCAATTCACAGTCATTTTTCAAAGCGATATATTCAGATAAACAAGCCAGATAAGGATAGTTCTAATTGGCCGGAAAAACCTACACCTGAGTTTGTATGAGTCAAGTTGTGCTGTGTTGTGTGGAGTACCAGCCATGTTGTTGTTGCAGGATGGGAGGATGAGGATGTTTTGATAGTAGGATACACAAAGGATCCACCCAGAAAGCGTAGGAAGGTGACAGATGAAGGTGTGTGCATGTATGTTAATCTCTGTGGAGGGGAAAGTGTTGAAGTGTGTTCCTCATCTCTGTGGGTTCTGGAGGCCACTGGGTGTTTTAATGCAACTATCTCATACTAATGGGTGTTGACAGAATGGTGCAAAATTTGAGAGCAAGCGGTTTGATGCAGGTGTGGTGGAGCTGGGAAATGTAAGAAAGGCATCATCACATCACACAGATAACTAACCCTACCGCATAGTTCCCATTCAGGTTTGCATCTTAATAATGAGAACCTGCTCTTCTGCAGTTTATTAGTTCCCTCTGCAGCAGTGAAAAGCAGAAAATCAAAGTGGAAAATAATCATTTCCACAAGATTCTTCATTTGCAGGACATTTCTTTGCAATAGATCAACTAAAGTACTGACATTCCTTAATAACAGTCCCAGATTTTCGCCTTACTCAGATCTTTTCTTGATACCAGAGCAACTTGTGTGGAGAGCTGCTCGCTCTAGCGGTGCTGCTCCTACCTACTTCCGACCAATGGGCCGCTTTCTGGATGGAGGACTGCTGGCTAATAACCCGACACTGGACGCCATGTCAGAAATCCATCAGTACAACAAGGCCTTAAAAGCTGAGGTAAAGGACTCCCTGTTTTTTAACCCCAGCTTGCAACATTCTCAGTCATCTTTACAGGAGCTTTTATTCTCTCTCTCTCTCTCTCTCTCAGGGTCAGGAGGCGGACATCAAGAAGCTGGGTATAGTTGTTTCTCTTGGCACAGGTAAGTCATGGAAACTAATACACAGTCAGCCATAACATTACGACCACTTCCCTAAAACGTAGTGTGATATCCTCACCCTGCCAACAGCAGGCAAAGTGTCAAATATCATTTTAGAATGTCTTGGGGGTGCTTGCCCCAGAGTCCTCTGGGCCCTGTGGGTTTATGGGAGAGTCTCTTTGTTTTACCGGTCCTTCAACAGATGCTCCCATCAGATTGGTATCTGGAGGGTTTAGAGGTCAGGGGACACCTCAGGTGCTTTGACCTGCTTTTTGGCTTTCATAATCTGTGTTTATTTTTAGTCCAAGCGTTGTCCTGCTGCGTAAATGTTGTGTTGTGTTGCTATAGAGTATGGCTGTGTGTGTGTGTGTCAATTAGTCGTGCAATGAGTGTGAATGCCAGGACCCAGGTCATAATGTTATTACTGATAGCTGCATAGTTATGTGTAGTGACTTTTGCAGCGGTGTAATGAATTACTCGTCTTTGCAGCACTTTGTCTGATGCAATATTATATTAACTGCAATTGTTTATTTACTTTCATACTTTCGTGTCATTGTGAAACAGCTGAGTTTTATTGTGTAAAATCCTGCTCTTTTGTGCTCCTTTATGTCTCCAGGTAAACCTCCACAGGAAGTGGTGTCCTCTGTGGATGTCTTCAGGCCATCCAACCCTTTAGAGCTGGCCAAGTCTTTCGTAGGAGCAAAGGAGCTTGGCAAGATGCTGGTGGACTGTGTGAGTCCAGCTGCCTTTTTGTGTGACTGGAATCTTACGATCAGTGTAGCTTGGGCAGGCCATTTCTCTCTGTGTTCGTTTTGCTTTTGCAATAGCATATAAACAAAACGTTTGGTTAGATACATATGTATTAAAGGTTTTTATATTTCCCTCTGACCTGGCAGTGCACAGACTCTGATGGTTGTGCTGTGGACAGAGCCAGAGCCTGGTGTGAAATGATCGACACCATCTACCACAGGTCAGCTCATCATGGACCAGCGGGTTTAGGTTTCGTCTTCTTGTTGACTCCACGTTTTGTCTCTTTATCTGATCCCTCTCATCCTGTTCTTTAACTTTCATTGGCGCCCTTTTGGCTTTCTCTTTAGCTTCTCATTTTGTCCCCCTGTGGTGTTTTAGTGCTATTTATATTTTTTTGAATTTTTGAAGTAGTGGAATTACACAAGTAGAGCAGATCATTTTTATGATTGTTCAAATCACAATGGTGAAAGGAACTTGTTTCTGTGCCTCTTTTTTCTCATTTTTAACCATAGAAATGTGTGTAATGAAAGGATAGACATTACAGTTTGATGTTTATTTGAGGTTTAACAGCATACAGTATTTAGAGTAGTTGCATAGGAACTGTAAAGTGCAGTTAAAGGTTCTGTAAAATCTTCAAAATATTCATTTCTGCTTTATTTGGTCATTCTTAAGGACCCTGGCACTTAACTGTAGACTTGTTACTTGTGTTTTGTCCAGACTGAGTCCTCAGCTGTCTCAGGAGGTGATGCTGGACGAGGTCAGCGACGCGGTTCTGGTGGACATGCTGTGGGAAACCCAGATGTACCTGTATGAGAAGCGGGAGACCCTCCAGTCTCTAGCAGAACTATTACTATGCAACTGACAGTGCAAGGAAATCAAAAGAGATGGAATAGGGATTGAAAGAGGGAGGAGACAGAATTGAGCCATATGGCTGTTTCTGGACTGCGGTAATCATGTTGGTTCGCTGTATTTAAAAAAAAAAAGAAAAGAATAATCCAGTGACCCCATGTACAAACTCAGCAATATCAGAAACTTGACAGACATAGATATAACTTAAAAAATGACGTAATACTGACAGAGAGAAAGCAGTTTAAGTAGCATCGTGTGACCCCATCACTGACCTTTTCTGTTGTGAGTTTGTCAGGTAAACAGTTTGTATTTGAACCATTACAGCACAGTTTGTTGTCTTTTTCCATCATTGCAACCCAAGAGGGTACAGATCCAATCGAGATACAAATGTTTCCCCAAAGACCATTTGGAAAAAGCCCCCCTGGATTTCCATCATAACATCTATACGTAATAAGACTCTGAAATCCAGTTTTGAGGATCACTCCATTGAAGATGAACCTGTTCTGCCTTATTTATCTCTACCAAATCTTTTCATATTCCCTCTGCACATTTATGATAACTTTGTTTGTCATTTGCGAGTTTTTTTAAACACAATATGTCGCTTCATTACTGACAAATAACTAAAACTTTACATGAAAGTGTATTGTAACTGTTGTATGATCTGAGCCTGTCTTTACCAACCACTGTTGTAACAAGATAAAACTACTTGTTTTCTATTTTTTTTTTGTATTGGAAATAATACATACTAGTATGAAAATAAAATATGTTATTATTTACAACGCATATATGACTGCTTCTTTGAAGTTTGAGTATTATTAAAGTCCTCCTTTAAACTTAGAAAAAAGAACACTGGCCACTGGCAAAAATGGTATATAAATCATAAATGATAATGTCTGATGTCTGAGAGTTAACAACATTCAGCTCCAGAAAATCGCATAAGTCTCTTATTGACAGGTGGTTATCCTCCTCTGTGTGAAGTGTAAGTGAGATGCTGCTCTGTTGTGGTGACCTCCATGCACACTAGTTTTTCTTCATTTCTGCAGTAAGCAAAGTGACCTTTGGGGGGTGACGCTGTCTTGGTAGCAGTTCCTGCTTCTTTGCAGAGGTGTGCTGTTGTCCCATTTAGTCATCTTCACAAGCTCTCAGGTTAGGGATTCAGTAGTATTTCCTACTCTAGGCCGTATTATTCATGCTGTCACGCTTTGTGACCACGAATAGCTTCCTGTTAGCACTCTTCCTAGCTGCTACGCTTAATCGAATTTCAATGATTCAACAAAAAAATGTGAGCAACTGCTTGGTGACTACAGCAGCTGTGTGTGAACATCTTATCAAGGTTGCAGCCTTGCACGGCTCACTGTCCAGCCACAACAGTTTTAGGAAGCAGAAAGTGCCTAACGGGGGACAAGGCCAACCCGTGTGTGCGTCTGTAGAGAAGCTGTTCAGAAACAATACAGCTTTCAATGCAGCTCAGCAGGTTAAAAAAAAACTATCATTTCTGACCTGCAACCCTTTATACACTTTCGACAGTTTTGATACGACTGATTTTCTCAACCGGTGCCTGGATTTCAGCTAACTTCTTATATAATCAGTAGAGTTAAGTATTTTGTCTTCTGGGATGCAAAAATATGACAATGTTAACTCATACATTCACTGACAGTAGGCCACTCCTTTAAATGGATTATTACTTTGATATTCAGAATTTGGAGCCCTTGCTTTGATTACCGGTGTCACAAATTTACTGATAAGTTTGATGAAGTCTTTACAAAAAGGATGCCCACCTCGTTCATGTAGTGTCAGAGGAATGAATTATTTGGGATGTAATAAGAGACATCATTTCTGTTTGAAGTTAGTATTTCACATATCAGTTAATTTCATAGTGGAAATAAAAATAAGATCAGTTTAGTTGGAATATTTCTTTTTTTTAACTAGAAAATACCGCAAAGTAGCTATGGTCCTACATGTGCTTCCATTTATTTACAAATCCCTTATTTTAGGAAAAAGTGTCATAATCTGCTCTTGTCAGATCAGGCTCCGCCCACCATCCTGCATCAGCTTTTCTGAACTTAAGAGTTTGAACAAAGCAGTTAATGAAATGTTAAGTCATTACTTTTACTTGTAGTAGTTTTTCTACAGTTTTTTCTAATTTCTTGGCATTTTTGTCCTTTCACATTTTATGTTGTTCAGTGATGGCAGGTAACTACTTTTCATACTGAAGCAGCAGCCTGTAGGCTTTTTACGACACTGAAGTTATTATAATGCAAGGGTCTGAAAACATTGAACTGAAAGAGCTTATGTGCAATAGTTTCTATGGCATGGCTATGTGACCCTTGGCCATATGCACATTTACAATGAGAATTTAAAATCTCAATAGCCTTTTTTAAAACTTGTGGTGGTGTATTGTCATTCAAATACGTCAAAGCATTGTAAACCTTCTTTTTTATGTTTTAAGTCCTGTGCCAAACACAACCAGACAGATTAATTAAACAAATGATACGTTAGTGTCTTCTAACAGCAGACTAAAGCGCCATCAGCTTTTATAGCCTCTGCGATTTGGCTTCAGCCCATGCCCATTCAGCCCCTCAAGCTCAGACTTGGTTAATGCTTGTGTGGGACTTTTAACGATATCTCCACAGTTAAATGGTTTATAATAATGAGGTGGGCCTAATGAATTTGAGCACAGCCAGGGCACTTCATGTCTCAACACAAGTGAGAATCCCAACGTCACCTGCTTCCAAGTTGGCAAGCAGGTAACGGCAACACTGTATAATTATCTCAAAGACACACAAGAATGCTTCAGACTTATTCCGCGCCAAATATTGACTTTGGCATCGGTTTAGGATTTTGTTTTTCCTTCTTTACCTGAGCTAACACTGTAATAATACTTGCTGAATATATTGCATGTGCACTATGTTTATTTAAAAGAAGTTAGATGCTTAACTCCAGACATCTACTCTGTTTCTAGTGGTGAATGTGAGCTTTTTTCTCAGACTTCTGTGAAATAGGAATAACTTTGTCGAGGGCAACTGTTTTTTTGTCCTATTTTGTCCATTAGATACTTTCCAAATGACATTAAGAAAACTCAGCAGCATTCTTTGAATTTCCCAACCGCCCCCTGCCAAAATGTCATATATTCTGTTTTCTTTATAGGTTTGGGGGTATTGAGTTCAGTTTGGTTAAAATGATATTTTTCCCACAAATATGCACAGACTTGATTATTTTGGGGTTATCATTTATGACGTTCTTTTTTTTCTTTTCTATTTCCTGAGTTTGAGTTTGTCTCTGCTTTAAAACTACAAACCCACCATGTTCCTTGTTCCTCTGTATTGTCCCTGCTGCTCATCACATACCAAGTCACAAAAAAAAAAATCTGATTTGGAGTAATTTGATGCTTCCTTCCTCATCAGGAAACTACTGTGACCTTCAAAGTGATACCATGATGTCATGTTGCTGTTATTGTGTGCATCACATGTGAACACAAGCACACACTGGTTAAAAGACCACCTCCATTACTTCTCTCCATTGCCCCGCTTCAGACAGCACAGCATTGTTTCCAAGCCAAAATTACCACATCAGCAGCTCTCCAAATACACCCCACATCCTTCACCCTCTAACTGGTGACAATGAAGGAGAAATCCTTCTTTTGGAAAAGGAGACAGGGGAATTTCTTCTCTCTCCAGTTCCCAGCATGTTAATACCTGCCGTGAAAACCTTATTAATTGGCCTCTTAATCTCCTGAATTAGAGAGGGTGAGAGAGATTAAACATGAGCATGATATGGAGAGTGAGAGTGGGTTAGACCATGTTGTAGATATATTTGGGGCCGTGCATAGATGTGCACATATGTGCGAGAGCTTTTGAATAATGTCAACAACTCATGCATGCAAACTTGTGCTTTTTTGTCTTCTTACTTTCTGCCCTTATTGTAGATTGTGCATGTGCTTCCACTTTGCCTGCATCAGAGTGTGCACGTTAAAGTGTGTGTGGTCAGAGTGGGCTTCACAAATGCTTCCTGATGATTCATCGCTGGAAAATACAATTAACTTCCCCCCACTGCCCCCCGATTATTTCCGCAGAGGAGATTAAAGTCTCCCAAGTGAAACGACGAACAATTGAAGTCGATCACATTTTGGAGTCAAATGTTCCACTGGTCAACCGATCCAGTGACGCCTGTTTACACACTCTGGAGTCATACTTCCCCAACAGCTGTCAGCTGGGACGATCTGTCAATTAAAGTGGACTGCCTCTTGTTTTCCCGAGTTTCCTTTTTTAAATGTACTTTTCTGTGTGTAACTCATCCCCGGTCGTGCTGATGGTAGTTATGTAGATGATCAACTTATCACAGGATCTGTTGGCTTGCAGCAGAGGTGGCAGAATTGGTGGAAGAGGAAAGAGGTGTTAATGTACAAGTGTTAATGTCCAAGTTTTTTTCCCCCCCAACTTCCCACTGACATTAATCTGGTGTGTTCTCCCACACCACATGTATAAGTAATCATACGCTTTCAGATAACGTGATTCTAACTTGATATTTGTAGGAAAATAGTAATATAAAAAATCACTGCGCTTTGCATTTAACAGAAAATAAGTTCACTGTTTCCTTTGGATTCTGAAAAGGAAAGAATGAAACAAATCTTTTCCCGTGTTTAATCTCAACATCAGGAATCGTTGCATTAAGGAGAAAGTATTTGCCTTGATCCTCTGTGTCTCACATAAAGCGTTACTTTGGGATTTTTTCCTCCTGATTTATTTAGCCAGTTTTATTCACTACAGAAAAGTTTAAAAAGAAGGAAGGGTGACATGTTTCCCCTTAATTCCTATCTCTTAACAAAGTTTGGTGGTGGAGCTCTATACCTGGAAGCACACATTGCTGTTTCACATGACTGAGGCTCTTCTTTGAACATTTCATAAAAAGTGGCATGCATCTGGCTTTGACAGTGCGCTCAGTGATGAGGCTTCTGCACGCTGTTGTTGATTTTGCTTTTTTCGTCTGAAGAAGCAGATGCGCCAACGCAGTTTATTTTTGCCTTCACCGTCTGAAGTGACAGACGGGGATTACAGATGTCAGTACAGGAAGTTCTAATCTAAGTGATGTTTGGTCTCAGGGCTCTGATAAGAAAGTAAGGACATGTCTATCCCTTTGTGGAAACATTCCTGTGTATGCACTGTATTCATTCTGTATGGGCCATAGGTATCTGCTGGGATATTTTTCTGTCTTTATAATCCTTACTAAGGTAACATTTGGGGGAAATCAGCCTCTTTTTATTTTTCTTATTATAATATGTTCTGGGATATCTTGTTCTCAGAAACAAAATGTGAAATGTTTGCAGCCACTGTGGCACTGTGTACTCTGAGCTTTACAGTTTAGTTAGTAAATCTGAATTAAATCAGAGGGAGTGCCCCACCCTCAATTAAGATGGCTCGCTGTCTCCGTGACTGAGCACAAGAGCCCTGTGTTTCCACTCTCCGAAACAGACTTAAATAAAGCATTCTCTTGTTGCCAGTGATGAACAGAAGAATGGTGAATTCACGGTGGCTGGTTGAAATTAGATATAGGTAAATGCCAGCATGTTTTAGATGATAATCCAGGATAAAGCTCCAGTTGGCTGATGACCAAACGTTCATGCTTTGCACAACTGCGTTTGGCTTTTACCTAGCAGTGGACGTACTCTGTGTTTAACGATGAAATCCATTCTGATTTTTTACCCGACTTTTTTGAAAAGGTTTTAATAATGAGAAGTGCTGTCTGGAAAGAAAATGTGCATACCACCATCATGAATGAACTCCCACTTAACACAATGTAATCCATTTTATTGATTTGTCGTTGAATACTTATTTAATCTAAATTTCATAGACCTTGACATCTGCAATCCTCCAAAACATTTTCTTTTTGCACATTACTTTGCACGGATTCTCCTGTAGGACACAATGGCTGGCCAAGAGAAGCATTTACAGATTGAAAAAAAGGGGTCCCTGGATTGAACCCTGCAGAACCTCACAGGTCAGACCCATTCGGTCTGAGACACACTTCCCAATGTGAACAAAGTAACAATGATGCAAACTGGTAATCAGGAAGATTTCTGGAATTTGATTATTGTGCCTATCTGGCACTACTGAGGTGTAAAACATGCTAATAACAGCAAGGTGTCATCATGTGGCTTCTTGACTAGCCAAGCTCATCCCCTCCACTGTTGTGGCTTGAGTTGTTTGGGCTGATGGGTTTATGTTAGTCCAATATGGTGCCAAACATTTGGACAAACCGTCTACACTTTGTGTTTGTCTGTCCAAAGGACATGATGGTGATTTGTTCTGTTGTAGCTTTGCAAACCAATCCTGTGCTGAAATGTTCTTTCCATAGAGAGGTTTTCCCTCTGTTCAGTCCTCCAAACTTATTATGCATTTATTAGTGTTTCAACTATTTGTATTTGTGATTTTTTTAAACAATAAATGAGTCAACACATGACTGCTAAGGTGTAAGAGATTCCCTTACATTATCTTACAAAGAACAAGTACATGAACAAAAACCTCCTTTTTAATTTGCACTCTTTACCCACAGTGAGCCAAACTGATGGGGCAAGCTGTTTCTGGGTCAGTGTAACTCGAACTGGAGTAAGTAATCTTGGCTGTGTCACATCCAGTTCGTATACCTCTTTCCTGCTGAAGTATACACCATCAAACAGCTGGTTCACAGCGACAGCTTTTCAATCCTCCAGCCTCTTACTTTATTGTATTAAATAAACACTAATCGTGAAATAGAAAAGCATAGCAAATGACTTACACGAGAATACTTAATAGATCCTGTTTATGCTAATTAACTTGGCTTTGTTTATTTCTAATGTGCTGTGTGCTGAGCTCTTGTACAAAATAAAGATTTTTACTGAAAATGTGAACAGAGCGCTTTTCCTGTTTCTCTTGTCTGTCTGCGGTGCCCACTATGATGGCAGGGAGCCCTGCTGGCCCAGAGACTGACAACATCGGCAAAGGATAAAACGAAGAAAGAATACACAACAATGTTACTTGGATGCACCAGAGAGTTCAAAGAAGAAGCTGCTGCCAGGAGGAAGTGACAGTGTCACGGCACAAGTGATGCTTTTCAAGACCCAAGCTGGTTCTGACCCATTTCCCCTCCATCATTCCGGTTCTTTGTTTCTCTCTGTGTGCGTGCTACAGAGTGTGCGTGTTTCTATTGGCCACACTGGAGCCATTCAGGGGGGTATGGAAGGTTAGACACAGAGGTGGATTTTGTTGTGATGGTATTAACCTCTGTCAGACTAAATGGGCTTTAATTGGGGAAAAGTTTGGTCCCACACAAGCTGGATTTTCAACACATGCATGCCACTCGTGTGCATGCCCACACACACTTGTACACACAGTTATCCTCTTCCTTCTAAATGGGCTTCATGTCGGTAAAACAAGCTTATCTCTTTGTTGCAATTCCTAACAACCCTCTTTAAGAGCTTCAATTTCTTCTCATTTTATTGATTCTTTCTCCCCCTTTTCATCTTTTAGGTTTTTTTCTGATTCTCTGTCAAGGGTACTTCAGTCTTAACTGTTCAGAAGTCTTTGTGGGTGTGTAGTACATAAAAACCAATGTGCGAGTATGTGAATGAGACAAAAGGATGACAAATCAAACCTAAATGTGTGCGTGCATGTTTGAATGCTTGAGGTGGGATTTCCAGATTCCAGCGCTGCTTTGGAAGCTTTCAGGAAAAGCCCATGACATTCCCTCAGAAACGTATCACTAACAAAATCAATGAAGCAAGCAAAGTGTTGTTGTTTTTTGCTCAGTTAGCTTGATATTAATCACTGATGTTATACTTTACAAAGGATATGGCCCATACCTGTCAACCAACCTGATGAAGCTTGTAGTCTTCATTTTGATCCACCTGGCATGTTAATGGGCTTCGGGGTTAATGGAGCCTGTCTCAGAAAGAAGCATCCTGGATGGCTTACTGATCAATTACAAAAAGAGACCGTCAACCATGTCAAAGACAGAAAGGGTCAATTTAAAATAAATCAGCCAATTAAGTTTTAAACAGCATTGGAAGTTGGAAAATACCTGCATGCATTGGCAGAATATGTAAATTAGACACAAAAGGGGGAAAAAGCTCTTATAATATAACAACTTTTCAAGGTTTACTCATGTTTGAACAATGTTTGAGATGAACATGATCGTGTAAGAGTATATGTAGACTAAAAACACACACACACACATCAAATGTTCTCCATAAGTTCTCCAAAGGTCTGACAAAGATTCTTCATCTTGTGACCTAATACGAAAAGTTCATGTTGCAATAAAAGCAACTTCAAAATGGGATATGTGAGGGGGGTACACAGCAAAAATCCTTCCTTCCTCTCTCATTCAGTTTAATCACAGACTGGACATTTTAATAGGCTTATTTCACAGCATGCAGTCACTGATCTGTGTCACCCACACAATGTGTGTCATATAAAAAAGGGGGTTAGTCGTCTCTATCAACAATTAAAGCTTCTCTTTCCCCAAAAAACTTTGAATTTAACACCCAATACTAAATAAGAAACATGTCCAAACTTGCATGTTTGCCTTAAAAAAATGGTTGAAGTTAATTTGGGTAAAATTCTTAAGATCAAAACACTGATGAATTTGGCATTTGTTATTCAGTTATTCATGAAAGCAATACATTTAGTCTCCTCAATTCCCATCCTTAAACTCTCGATTCTCGGATGTGGTTTTATTCCCGGGTGAACTCTGCTGCTGCACTCATGCGAAGCGCGCTCCTTTGAGTGCGAGGACGCGCACAACTATATCCTGTGACTGGAAGCATCTCGACTTCATTCACCCCGGAGATCACAGGACCACTGGGAGCTGACAGCACAATCCTCCGTACTACAAAGTGGATTTTTCTCTTGTGTCGTTTGCTAATACAGCCTCCCTTTCACACTTTGAAGAGTCTAACAGATATAAATGGTGATCCCACCCTAAATACCAAGACTTCCAACGGACCATACGGAGGACAAATCGGGGGATTTCATTGAATGTGTGGATGTAAGAAGAAAAAAGACGTTTCATTGATACCTTCATCACCTGCTCTCCACGGGAGCAATAGAAACTGAGCGACTAAACGATAGTCGAATTTGTGTGCCATGCTTTAAACTGGTGGTTCTGAAACCCTGAGACTCGTTTTTTCCGTCTCTGGCTGGACACTCATCATTTTTGTAAAATCCGCCCTCGATCATTCGCAGCTGTCTATTCTGGATGCAAGGAAATTCTTAGAATATTATCATTATTATCGATTATTACCTCTCTACGTTCTGTCGGGATCTAACAGATAATCAGATGTTTTGTACGCGCATATACTGAAGTTGTGGAGGTGGCCTATTCTCCTGAGGGATGGTTCAAGGCTCTCGACAACAGGGAGCGACAGCCCGGCTCCTCCAGTGGACCTTCACCCCCTTCTGGTGCCTATGCAGTGGATCTGAGAGGAGATGAAAGCCGCAGTCTACCACCTCCTCGCCTGCTATCTCTGCCTGTTACGCACCGGTGCTGAGGTGAGCTTCATGAAAATAAAACGCAATTGATCATTTTTCCTTCTTCCAATTAGATTTAGGTCTGTGCCCACATCCATTATACGACAGCAGAGCCTTATTTTGCAGACTTTGTTTAAGTTTAAAAAAATCTCTCTGCGTAATTACGCGCACACCTTTACTCTCTGCACAGTGCATGGTGACAGCTAAGTTTTAAAAAGTGTAAATGGTCTTTTGTGTCTTCTTTTCTTTTGTCAGTGTAGCTCTATATTTCTTCTGCCAATAAATCCGCTGAACTTTTTCTCACAGGAGTTTCCTCTCCCTCGGGAGCTCCTGGAGCGACTTTCCCGGAGCGAAATCCGCAGCATCAGCGACCTCCAGCGGTTACTAGACATAGACTCCGTAGGTAAAGCACCTCTTCCATTCCTGCAAACGAGATTCTTGAAGTCAAATAAGTAATGTTATTTGATTACGTAACTAATTTTTTGAATGCCATAACAGTGCAGTGCAGATGTACGAACTCAGTTACCTTTTTTGCTGAAACAACAAAAAAGATTAACTCTTCTAAATGAATAAAAACCCATAAGAGGGGAATTGCAACAAATTTACAATGGATTACTTTTTGTGGGCAAAAGAAATAGCTGAGTTTGAAACCCTTACCCCCTTACCAGCTCAGACAAGTTATTCCAAAGTCTAGGAGCACTGAACGTGCTCCTAGACTTGTTCCAAGTTTTCTACAACTTGGAACAATGGGAGATGCCAGCCGAGGTTTTTGTGGAGCAGAAAGGGACACAAGGTCATAGATATAATTTAGAGCAACACTTTTGTAGACCAGAGAAGAAAGCATTACAATCTTTTCTATGAGTTTTAAGAATAAGAGGTACAAGGAATAATGAAATATGATTATTTGCTTTTTGTTTTAAATCCTGAAAGCCAAACTAAAAAAATTTTTGGGGGAAAGATTGTTTGTGTAACTCAGTGTACGATTTTATTTGGATAATTAATATTTCAAAGACATTTCTAACAGACATTTATATTTTATCAACAGAAATGCTAAAGGAACACTTACTGAACTATAGGCTTTGGTTCATCCATGTTTGTTTCTTGAAAGACTGTGACTTGAGCCATTATCTGGTTCAGCGAGGATAAAAAATATACTGGGTCTTCTTGCTACCTGGGTGTCTCTCCAGATGTTGCTGGGAGAGCAACATAAAAAAAAATCATCATTACAATTTTAGTTTAGCTTTTTGTACTACTTTTTGTAATACTTTTGATTTTCAACTGGACAAACAAAGATTGCTTTATTTTGCACTGTTGACTTATAAACTAATCAGTTTTTGACTCTAATAGACTCTTATCACCATGATCAAACACTGGTGCCAGTTCTCAGTATCCAGGTAATTAATCTGTGTTGATTTAAAACACTGTGGTGAGACAAGAGGAAATAACAGCTCCTTAAAATGGGCAAGAACACTTACAATCTGTTTCCAATTACAAGTTAGACAAACTTTTGCTGCTTTGATCATCTTGTCGCCTCTTAGAGGTAGCTGATTCATTTTCTCTCTCTCTATATATATATATATATATATTTTTTTTTTACGTCTGCAGAGCGGAGCGGTGCCACCATTAATCCTGGCATCATTGAGATGCAAATGTTGGTTGTGACGGCTCCCGGGCTCAGTGGGGGTCAAGTGGCTCACTTCATTATACTGTTGTCATGCTGCCCATTATTGGTTTGAGAGGAGTGCTCGCTGGAAGGCTGCTGTGTTGCTATGTATAATTCATGCTCAAATTCCTAAATGTCAGGGCGCGAGAGACACATGCACAGATGGAGAGAGAGATGTCGGGGATGGACTTTGTTGTGTTTCACCACCACACGGTGCATTTAAACAGGCACGCTAGTGAGTTCTTGCACACGTACATGCGGAGTCATGAAAAGATGAGCGAGGGTTTTGTAATTACAATCAAAAAGAAATTGTGTTGACATAATTTACACTGATTGCCTGGAATCTTTCTGTCTTCTTCAAGTGCTCACAGAAGTGTTTCCTCACAACAAATCATGCTCATTATGCTTCGCCTGGAGTTTATTGGCTTTGAACAGATCCCCGAATTTCTTGTGGCTTGAATCCCGTGCGCATCCATTTCACACGTCTTAGTGGCGGCTCGGTTTAAAAACAAGATGGGCTGACGTTTGGTAAATCTTCCCTTAGTGGTATTAATGAAGACAAATATCAGCTGACTTTGTTGTTGTATGATAAATCTACCGGTGGCACTGAAACTGGTCAAATGTTGTCAGACGTGGGTTTGACTCAACCGCTTAAAAGAATTCAGGGTTTCACGGCCTAATTCAAAATAGCTGCTTGGATCAGAAAAGTTGCACTATCCCAATGAAGGAATCCAAACAAATCTTTTGCCCTGTTGATATATCTCCACACCCCTTTTACCATGATTGTGTCTACTGGAGGGGGGGATAGTCTAAAGGTCTTGATAGGAAGTCAGAAAGCATGGTAATAGCTGTTAGCCAGGCCGGTTTAATGTTCCTGTCCAACAAAATACTCACCTTACAAAGCACAAAGTCATGTTTAGAATTGATAATGTGTTCCCACCTGTGTGTTTAAAGATTGTTGGTGTGAGCTGAAAATTTAGAAGATGTTTTGATGTTGATGTGGGGCTATTCCCATCATGTCAGTTCATTCTCTGTCCAATCCCAGCTAGGAATTTTGAAATCTTGATACTTTGAATAAAATGATTGTTGTTTTTAGTGGGACTGAAGCGATGTTTTCAAGCATCCAAATATAAAGGAGTAAAAGGAATAAAGAAAAGAAATTATTCCTCCTCCCAACACCCTGACAGATGTCTGCCGAATGTCTAGCTTTAACGACTTAATGTTTAGAACACTGATTCAAGACAACAACCGCCTCTCAGCTGATAACCCACGAGTGACCCCAGACTAAGCTCTTGATGTTGTGTGTCCGTGTCTTTATGTGAATTTGATTTATTAAGCCGATCCAGACACTGACACGCTGTGTTTCTCTCAGCGAGCATTCATCTGGAGAGAACTCGGTAACCTGTTGACACATATGAACTTAGCCAGAATACCCACGTTAAACTCAGTGTCTGATCATAGGACAATAGGTTAAGAGGTTTTGTGATACACAGCTTGCTGTTGGATATAAACACCCAAGTGTTACGGTTTTTTGTTTTACATTTACGACATTTACGACAGTTCTCTCACGGTGCAAAAAGAAGATGGTATGATTTCTTTCTTATGCTGAAGCAACAGCAACTACAATGTTTAAATGATTGGTTCCGAAATGTTGGTGTGTGTTGATTGTCAGCTCATTTTTAGTCCACAAAGGAACTGTTTTGTTTGGTAAAGTTCCAAATGTTTCATGTTATATCATCCATAGCACATAGTATCATAAAAACACTCAGCAAATATTGAGACATCTCTTTCTGAGAGGATACAGCTGGTAACAGAAGGTACCTGTTATCTTTAGGCCCTCGGATAGTGCTTTTTGAAAAGAAATATTCTGAAAGGTACACACAGGTTTTAGAGTGATATAAACTTCCATAAGAGGGTTTTGCATATTCTGACATGGAAATGCTAAAGGGCATGCTTCATCTACTGTAAGAGCCTGGCCATTACAAATCATCATCTGAAGACCAAAGCTTTCCCCAGCTAAAAACAATCCACTAAAAATGACACATGAGAACAAGGACTGAAACCCATATCATGAACAGACATGAACAGGACAAAAGTTGTCTCTAAAAGGTGCAGCATCCACTTGTATGTCCATCAGTGTCCAGACATTTGTGACCTGCCCACAGTTTTTAAGCATGTTGCTGTAATAGAATATTAAGATATCTCACTTTCAGTCTTTTTTTTCTTTGTTATATTATGGATCAAATATTGTGAAATTTTTGCAAACAACTGCATTATATTCTGATTTACATTTAAACTCTTCTTGAAACTTTTAAAAACTTTTATGAGTAATGAGATTATTCTGAGTGAGTTGGCTTTACACGAGCATTAACAGGTAGTGCGTGTGTTATTTTGTCTCCCTCCAGAGAACGAGGTGATCGCAGAGAAAAAACGAGGCTATCACAAGGACTTTTCTCACGACTACTCTGATCAGAAAAAAGTGCAGGCACACACACGGCAGAGGAGGAGCATTGGTGAGACACACAGTCTGTTGAATTGGAAAAAATGCTTAATTAAAAAAAAAAATCCTGCTCCATGTGGTTCTTTTCCCTTAAACTTGAATGAAAACCCTCTCTGTTGACTTGCAGTGGTGGAAGAGGCTCTGCCTGCGGTGTGCAAAGTGCGCACGACGATTTATGAAATCCCCAGGAGCCAGGTGGATCCCACTTCGGCCAACTTCCTCATCTGGCCCCCCTGCGTTGAGGTGAAGCGTTGCACCGGCTGCTGCAACACCAGCAACATGAGGTGCCAGGCAGCTCGCAAACACCACCGCACCGTCAAGGTGGGAGACACAGTCCAGCCCTTTCTGACCTGTTCTTATTCTTTGCATCTGGTTGAACTTTAATGAATGTGACAAAATGTTGTTTATAATGTCTTGTGTAAAATAACAGAGAACAAAAGGCTTTTCCTGGACCTGCTCTGAGGTCTGGGTGGTGCGGGTCTGTGTGGGGCTGGGTGCGTCTTTCATTTCAGAGTCATTCGGTCTAATCCGAACTTTCCGATAACTCGGTTACACTTGTCTTGTCTTCAATTAAACCATTTACAAACTGAAAAGTGCAGCCAGAGAGTGCATTAAAATCAATTTGATATCTTATCTCAGTAAATTATCCAAATCTATTCAACAAAATTCAACACACACACATGGTTCTGGTCACATTTGTCCATCATTGTGAGAACTGGGATAAATGCGTATGACCAACAGAAACAAAAAGTTCTTGCAATGTCAAAATAAGCATCAGATTTGGATCAGTGTCCCAAAAAATCTAATTGCTGCTGTGAAGCTTTACCATTAATTTCATGTTTGAAGGCCTTTATTCCAAGGCAACAAGACTATAACAGGACCAGTTTGTTGTTGTTTACAAGCAACTTTTTAGGCTGGAGATGCAGAATGAAGTAACTGATTCAAGTAAATGCTTATCATTCCAGATTGAGCATTAATCAGCAAATTGTTGCTGCCAGTTTTATTTTTATCTGAGTCACATTTGTCTTGTCAGCAATTAATGACGCTCTGAACACTGATTTGTTTGACAAGTTATGGCTGTGTTAATGACGCCTCCTCCTGCAGGCATGTTTTTCCTTCCATTCAAAAGATACACAACTACCTCACCACTTGATATTAGTCCTGGCTGGTACTTATGCTGAGCCATCATCATTACGATAGAGAAAAGAGAAAATCATAAAATGCCATCAAGACTAATTTCAATATCTATTTTTCTTTTTTTGGGCCCGTTACTTTTTGTAGCATTTCCAAATATCTGTTCACTAACTCTCTGTGGGCTTGATTGTTAGGGTCAGCTTTTTAAAATCGTTTAAAACTAAATTATCAAAATATTCTGCTAATGTTATGTCCAAAACTTCCAGTTGAAAGCTGAGTTGACATATTAGAAGTGTATATTTGTGTTAAGTGCTCTTGTGATATGAAAGTATAACGTTCTATAAACATAATCAAAAATTGTCATCCGTCATTTAATGGCACAGATGTTAGATATGCACACAAAACCATTTAGGGCACATGTAAACACACAGCTGCTCATTGAAGGAACTCACAGCCAATCTGCCAAAAGCAATTATTCCCTCCAGCCTAACCACGTTGTGAGTGTGTGTATCTGTGTGTTGGTATGTGAGAGTGTTGCAGCGAGTTTGCTGAAGAGCATAATAGCTCTCTTTTGATCACCCAGAGCTGAAAATAAGCCTCAGTAAAGCCCAACTGCTCAGAGTCAAACACTGCCAGCCGGGAGATGACCCAGGCTGAGTGTGTGTGTGTGTGACGTTTGAGCAGGTGGAAGATCTGAAATGCATATCAGACATTTAAAACTGAAAACTTGCTCAAAAAACAAAGAAATAAACAAAAAAAGAGCAAGGAAATTGAAAAGTATGTATTCATATTGATTGGTTGGAAAATTAAGACTAAAGAAACATTTCCAAGTGAAATGTTAAAGGTTTGCCAGCGGTCAACAGGGAGAAAGCGGAGGGGGGGAAACGCAAAAAGGGAGAGTTTGATTCTCTGCGCTCTGCTCGGCTGAAACCCAATTGTAGATGAAAGGACTCGACTTGCAGAGGAAATCAAAAATAAAGTCACTCACATGTGCTGAGGTTCATCGTGAGAGGGCAAACGGTCACGACTGCAACTGTACTCACAAATGGCCCCAGGGGAAATGGCAAGACTGAGATTTAGCTGTTGTGGCCACATGTGAGGGCAAAAAACACACACACACTGACGACAACACTGGTATATTGATTATTATAACAGGTTGAAGATAAAGGCGGAGTTGTTTCTACTGTATATTCAAGGCTACTGGGCTCTCTGAGCTTCAATTTGGAGCTAGTTGATGCCTCGGGCAGGATTTGGAGAGACAGGGTCATGCAAATGAATAAATGATAAAGCCAAAATGTGCAGCTTTCACCGAGCGCCGCAGCATTGATTTCAAGTTTCACATCGAAACTAATCGGGCGCTGAAACTAACTGTTCATGCAACATTCACAAAATCATTATCTGGCCGTAGCGACCAGCAATTTTTCCGTCCACAGCCATTTCTACTATTTCCTCCCACAAAATTCCACTCCAGTGGATCTTCCACTGCCCAGAAGCCAGTAGCAGGAATGGTTTTCGTGCTAAGAGGAACCTCATTTTGGTGGTTTCGTTTTTTTGGTTATGTTAAGATAAAAAAGAAAAAGTCAACCCAACGTCAAACGTAGAACAACACAAAGAGAAGGTTTATATCTACAGTACGACTTTCCATTTTTTATGTACTCTAGTTTTGATTGAACAGGTGGGATTTGTTGTCCTGGGAAAAAAAGGGAAGGCATAACTTGCATGGATTTGCTCCGTCGTCGAGAGTCTCGGCTATTCTGCCCCCATGCACATTGCGTCATGCTGACTTCGTACAGCTGGTGCCTGTTTCATTAGTCATCTGGTCCAGGGATTTGTGTTTTGTATCCACTCACATCAGATGGTCAGAGCTATTACTAAAAAAAACCCAACCCCCTATCTCACCTTAAGATGAACAGCTTCCCGTACTTCACTCTCACAAATATCTAATATTTATAATGGTTTAATAATGGTTTACTTATTATTTATGTAAAATTAAAATATTAGAACACTTTACTTGATAAGGAAAGAACAAAGCTATGGCGACATACAGAAATAAAGCTGTTCAGCTATAAATCCTCAGGTGTTTCAGTTGTTTTGAAGTGAACGTGAAGTAATGAATGCCTTATCTTTAGAGCTACTTACCTTAGCTGAACCACCTCGCTCATACTTCTTTTCCCTACTTTTTATTCTGAACCACTTCCTGGCTGTTTCTGGGTTTGTTCAGACTTGAAGCAGAGGTTCTTGTGCAATCACACCTGGAGCTCATCTAAATTGGCTCCAATCGTGAGTGTGAGGCAAGAACTGTGCGCGCATGTTTTCTGTCACTGGTCTGGAGCGTGCTCGGTCTGTCTGTGTAAACGTGTGTCAGAGCGAGCGTCGGCTCAAACATTCCCCGCCTGGCAGCAGAAGTGGCGCATGTTGACGCAAGATAAAATATGCGTCCTTTACTGTAAGTTAAATCGAGCCTAAATCTGTGTGAAAACAATTCCTGCATCCAAACCAGAGCGGTCACAGAGAAAGAACCTGCAGATAAAAGGTTCAGAAAATGTGCTGTTTGTGGCAGATTCTGGTTTATCCTACATGAACTGTAGCATGCAAAGACAGAGCACTTGATAAATAAGCCCATCGTATTCATGAATATTTGTCAAAATGAACTTACTCTATTGGATTGTTTGAGTTAAAAAAATTCAAACAGTTGCTGAGCTTTGCTCAGTATCATTTAAAAAGCTGCTGGTTTGTGTTACTTATATGTTCACGGCCCTGTAGCTAAATAACAGCAGATGCCAGAAGCTCCTAAACTCGACACAAACTTTGAAATGCTTTTTTGAGATCTCACAAGGGGAACTGTTAAAATGATCTAAACTTCCCTGTTTGATGATGTACCTACATAAGAATATGACACCTATTCTTCTAAAAACACAAACCTTTAAATTTAACTTTCAATTTCTATTAGAATTTGAGGCCGAACACTGATCAAAACTGTTGAGAGGGATTACTTAGCATCCATTCCTGAATCAAACGCCTGCCAGAAATAACTGGTGTTTGTTGACTTTGGTTCCTTGACAGGAACACAACAAGTGGCAAATTATTTTTACTTTACTGAAAGTCCTCATTATGGGGGAAAATATATTGCTGTGGAGAGCCTGAAAACAAAATCAACAGACAAAAAGAAAGTGGATTAATGGGCTTCAACCCGTCTACAAACCAGCCTGTACCTCCCTCTCAACCTCAGCCTACAGCCAGGAAAAAAAATCATAAACTATTGTAACAACCTGTACTTGTTATAGAGAGTCATGCTTTTCAGAAGCTATGGCCCAGCACAGGCTGCCGGATACGGTATGTCATTCCTTTATGTTGTCATGCATGAACAAGCAGGAAGAAGCTAAGAAAAAAAACATAAGAAAAAAAAAAAACAACTGTAAAAATGTAGCTTTTGGTGGTGTGGGACAGAAAAAAAATGTCTTGAAAATCTCAAGAGGGATCAAAAGCTCTTGGGTGGAATCACAGAGCTAACAAAGACAGCATTCATCCCGCCCTGGAAGGTTGCTGTTGCGCTTTTGGTTTTGAATCTGTCGTATCCATCTCTGTTAGGTGGCGAAAGTGGAGTACGTGCGGAGACGGCCAAAACTCCGGGAGGTGCAGGTGAGGCTGGAAGATCACCTGGAGTGCATGTGCACCAACAAACGTCACATCAGCCCCAACTCCGACACAGACAACGGTGAGCATGCAGCTGTTGCAGATGTGTGTGTGTGTGTGTGTGTGTGCGCGTGTTCACTTAGTGCTTGATTTCACATCTGAAGTCCTCTCCTGTTTGAATTCGTCTTCTGACACCAACTTAGCTGATAACAGATCTGAGGTATTTACAGTGTTTTTCCACTCAGCCTCTCCACCCTCAGGTCAATATTTCCAGCCAACACACACATGCACGTGTTCTGCGCATTGAAGCACAATCCTAAAGTTTCCCTCTTTTTTTTTTTTTCTAAGAACTTCATTACATAATTGTCTAACCTTTGTTTCTAAATCATACGAGGGCTCTTTTTTCTGCAGCAGCAGCAAGAGTGAACAAGCCCGCTGCTCCAGCAAACCACACAACCTTCAGCTGTGTATAAAAATGGTTATTAAGTCTGATTACATGTACCGGAATGTTTTCAAAAAAAAAATTAGTAGCCTCCTCTAATAGACCTGAGTTTATAGATTATATTTTAATGCCTTTCGGTGACCACATTGAAACTATTTGTTAAGAACCAGACATGAAATCTGCCTCCACGCTCACAAGAAAGACAAAAAAAGAGAAAGAAAAAAATAATCGTGATATTGTAAGGTAATTTTTATCTTAACGGGAAATAGGAGTTTTGTTTTGCTTGTGTGTACAAAGAAGCTCTGTCCACATAGTCACATGGTCTTTTGTTTGAACAGGCATCAGGTGAGGAGGTACACGGATGAAGGGGTGGAGGAAAGAATGAAGACAAAGACCTGGGGAGAAAAAGGACTGCCTGAAATTTCTTCACCAGCTGCTATTAAGAGACAGGTTTTACGGAGCACCTGCTGCCACAGGATTTGTGAGGCTCGATGGATGAAAACTGATTCACGCAGATCTCAAGTGTGCATCGAGGTGCTTGCTGAAAAAGCAAAGCATCAAACTTCCAGAACCATATGTTAATCCCAAACCGGCAGGCGACTCTACGATGGGAATGAAAAGGATTTAGAGGATAAAAAAAGACACCATATTGGCAATTCTGTCGTGGATTCAGTGACATCACAGAACTTATTGTCCGCATCCTGCTCCTTCACCATCTGTGAACCTCTCAGAGACTCAGATTATGTACTGGATGGAATAAATTCAAGAGACAGTGACTGGGATTAGGTTTTGTACTCAAAGATTTCCTTTTCCTCAGTAAAACACTCACACGCACACGCATGTATATCTTCTTATTTTTATAACCTTGCATTTTGTATTGCTGTCTGTTTCTACTTTGGGTATGCTATTTTGCATTAAGAGTGATGGGAGAGCTGTCCCTCTGGCATGGTACTAACACAAATAAAATATTTATACCAAACTCTTTTCAATGTCGATCAAAAGAAAGCCCTTAACTAACAGGTCTGTCGCAATATTCTTTCAGAGGGAGACTTTAAAACAAAAAATGAATGTGAACTGAAAAGATGTTAGATAACACTGAAACAGGAGCCCTCCTTGTTTTTGACACGGACCAAGTGCCTTCCTAAATTGGACGGAAGGAGACAGTTATGGTTGAAAAGCTGTAAAAGGGAAAATCATTAGCTAATAAGTGATATTATGTTTTTCGAAATTCAAGTTGAGGAAGTTATTTTGTTAAAGGCAAATACTTCACATCCTGACTCACTAGCTGTTAACAGATCGGAAGAGAAAGCTAATTTAAATTGAAGCTTTGCGATTTCCTTGCATGCTCACTTAGCGCTCACACTCTGACATTTGCTTAATGGAAACTGTGCTTCATTGACTTATTTACCCTGGAAGTGTAGTCTTACAAAACATGTATGTTTAAAATGCAATATTTTGTCATAGGAGGATGTTACTGCTTTGGGATGATTAAAAATAACACCTGGATCTGAGCAGTGTAAGTATTCATGTGGGACCACAGTCATTAAAAGTAGATTTCTGTGAGCTTATGACCGCTAAACACAAGTGATTTTCATCCTGTTTTAAGAGTACAGCACCTCGTTCTAGATTATCTATCCCAGCTGACAACGGGCAAAAGGTGGGGTACACCCTGAACAGGTCGCCAGTCCATCGCAGTGCTGCACAAAATTAATAAAAATCACTCTAAAACTCATTAATCACACTTTATCCCCTAAAGAATTCAAAAACAAAAGATGACGGTTGAATAATGTTTCAGCGACTTTATCGTGTGTTTGTACAGTTGCTGGCTCCTCTTACAGTGATGAAGGCTGAATGCCATTGGTTTTAAAGTAAGATACTACTCTTAGTAGTAACAGAATTTAATGTTCACAGATTTGGTATTCTACATAGACTTTTTTGTTAGAATTGGCTTGAAAAATTATGTAACTATGCACTAGTTTGACTGATTAAGTTGGTTGCTCTAAATCTAATTCGGTATTCAGGTTAGTGAGATTCCAGTGGCATAAACTATCAAACTGTGGATAAATGTTTAAGAGATTGTTTCATTTCTTAAAAATGTACCCTCGTGAAATTGCATTGTGATTAATCAGCTGGCTAAAAATGCAAAATTATCAGGCTGAGTTTGCTTGTGTGTACAGATTGTGTATCTAGCAAAGGAGCAATTAGCATCGTCAATACAGTGTTAAGAAAAAAATGTAGTTTTTCTTTCAAATCGTTCACTCATCCCCATCCAGTGGTGTTATTCAGTGAAATGAATGAAGGCACCCCCTACTGTTTCAGTTACAAGAAACTGATTCAGCTTAAATTTGGGTGAAAACACGTTGACATGAGCACCATCGAGGTCTTGTGTTCTTCTGCAGTTGCATAAGTGTTATGGCACAACTGGACTGACTTTGGCACAGCACCTAACAGCGAAATAAAGAGAAGACTGTAGAGTTTGTGCTGAAAGTTGAGAAAATCACGCTCCCTTCGTCCAAACCTGAGACACAGAGTCGGACCTAGTGTGAGGTCGTTCCAGTCCCCGCTGGCATCCTGCAAACATGCTGTTTGGACTATTATTTGTGGTTCCACGCAGCTTACTGCAACCTCAAACAGCTCTTTATGTTTCAGACATTAAACAGTTGTTATGACATGCTCCGATGGCTGACTACACCTACTTTAAACAGAGGACAAAACAAATGGCTGATGGTTGCGGTGGCAAATTGCAGACAGTCAAGTGACTTCATGCAAGTTTGAGGCATAACTTACTTTGCTGGCATTTTACTCTTGGAAAAGCTGTTGTAAACCATGTGTAGACATTGGCCAGCAGTGTAGCCAGAGTGGATAGCTGGTATAAATATATAAATTTCATAATTCGGTGGCTCTGTGTAAGCTGCACAAAGAGATTAGTGTTTAAAGAGGAGGGGGAAAAAAAGCTTTCCATGCAGTCTTTTCATCTGTTGTGTTTCCAGGACCGCGCAAAATAACCAACAAGGAAATGCATAAAACAGACAGTATCGTGTGCACATAAAGCACTAAAAACCGGTCGTTTGTGAGGGAGGGAACGCGCAGAGAGGAGACAGATGGGGATAACACTGTGTAACGAGGTCTGAAAGGTGAGAGGGGGGAACTGAAAACAGACAGGATGGAATACAACAAGTGGAGTTGTGTGCTGATGACAGAGTATAAAACATGAGAGTGTCTTTGTCTGTGACACAGGATAAAGAGTAGGTGTGTATGTGTGTGTGTGTATGTGTGTGTGTGCAAGAGAGAAGCAGAGAGAGAGAAACTCCATCTCTCTAAAGCTCATTTAAGCAGATTAAAAACAGGCAAGCTAAAATGCTGAACGCTTCGCAGGTCAAGTACAACCTGATATAAGCAGATGGAAGTCCAACTCGCTCCTTCGAAGACAGATTTCAGATCAGATTACTAAACCCCTGTATTTTTACACTCAGCCATTAACAAGTAAAGTATATCTGATTCAGGGTCAGGAGGTTTTTCTGGATAAACACCTCTAGTTCTTCTCGCTGCTTCTCTCTGGTCACAGCAGATAGACTTTGATTTCATGAAAAATGCAAGATCATTTTATAAAGGAGGGTCGTATTTAAAGATAAAAATGAAGTTAGGAATCCCAGTCTCCCAGAAAAAATCTTTAAAACCAATTGTAGATTCATGCCCTCAGTTTTGCATTTTTACATATTTCCCGACATGTAAGCAACTACATAGTGGACCACAGAATCATCACATGCCATAAAATCGGCATGAAATAGTTGCACCACATTTAAGAGACCAGGATGCTGGAAAATGAACACAAAGGACACACACCAGTCAAGTAAAACAACAAAGCTTGAAATTCATCATAACTTTATGTGCTTTGAGGCAGTTTTGATCAAGAAACCATTCATAAATCAACCTTTACACACAAAAAGGAAGCGTTGTGGTTAAAATGTCAGTGGGCAGTCAATGGTGCCCTGCCTGTCTCAACAAAAAACTAAACTAATAGATTATTTAATCATCCTTGTCCTGCCGAATCTCTTTCTCTCTGATCTCCAACGTTACTTTTCCATGTGTTACATTGAGCTGCTTTACTAGATAAACAGGTCTACTTCCCTGCATCAGCCTTGTTCCCACCACTGGATACTGCAGGGATGGAGAACCGGAGAACTGAAGCTGAGGTTTGGCATCGTGCAGTAGGATTAGGTTTTACTGCCGTGTGGTCAAGATTGATGTTTCAAGCGCTGGACCCTGTGGGAAGGCTTTATTTCCAGTGAACAGTGATGCGAGCAGGCAGAAAAAACAAAAGTCACCATTTGCTTTTACCTGCTAGCCAGTTATTCATCCATCCGTTGTCTATACGGCTTATTCATAGTGGAGTCATGGAGGGGGTGGAGCCTATCCCAGCTGACATTAGGTCAGATATAAGGTACATTCTGGACAGGTTGGTCACCCAATTAGGTGCTGGCATTTTAAATGAATAATTTGATCACGACTCGTTTATAGAGAATGCTACCTTTTAGCATTTTCTTTACCCGGATGCAGTACTGAAACTTCCATGCAGGATACTGGGCTCTCCTTCACACACTCCACCATGGCAGAAAGAATTTGTACTTTTCATCATCTCGCATTTTCGTGGATTATCAGAAATTATTTCCTGGAGATTTGTCCTCTGAATACACCTCCGACACAACAAGTGGGCTGGTTGCGGGTAGAGATCGTCAGCGTTGAGAAAGAGCTAAATTTGCAGTGTTGGACTCATATCTGCTCCATAACTTATTCTGTCCTCCGTCATCTTCTTCACACTTTTAGATGCAGTTTTGAGATTAGAACAAGCCTCGGGTTAATGCTATACTGTTACTTTGGCAGTGATTAGACATGCAAGTTTATGCGGGAAATAAGGCACAGGTAACAAATACAAATGAAAGTGATGGGATAGGAGCCAAAGGTTACTGTCTAAAATAAAGTTGTTTTTTTAACAATGTTTGTAATCCTTAAAACCCACAGGCATAGTTTCTGATTCCTTGCAGAGATGGTGTTTACTCATTCCTTGGATTAGAAAAGGCAGTAAAGCCTAGAACCTTTTCTTGAGAAGATTGTTTTAGAAAGGTTTTTACATTTTTGGGAAATGTTTTTCCCAAGATTGAAACAAGACGTATTTTTAATATATTTTCAAACTTTGACCCTATACTGCGTCTTCAACGGGTACGCCATTAAAGCTAAAATGTGCTCGAGCTTAAGAAATTAAACTCCTTTGGCCTTGGGTTTGTCCCCACATGATTCATGGAGCGAGCGCTGGCGGCTTGCAGGTCTTTGTTACGCTGCAGCCTCCAGGAAAACAGCTGCCTGATCGCTATCAAGAAATCCAAACGCCCGATTCACCTCCTAACCACACGCCTCCTTTTTTCTGCACCTCACAGTTTGACTTCAGCAGAGCATTTTAAGGACATAAGCCTCTTTCACACACATACAAACACCACAAAAAAAAAAAAAGCTGCCCTGCTGCCAACCACTCGAAATCACTCAGCAAACCCTCCCACCCTCCCAACCCCCCCAGAGTCGCCCCTCATGATCGTCTCCATCCCCTGTGGCTCTGGCATTGTCTTTGGTCGGGCCGGGCTGAAGGCTTGCTGCTGCCACTGAGTGTCACAGGGAGAAAAAAGCTGCTGTGCGGATCAACAGGGAAATAAAAAACCAAGATGGGGAGCGTATTTTGGGGGTGGGGGGGTTACGAGTTTTCTGGACTCACTGGGAGAAAGAGTTTGATCGGTTCATTTATGAAGGTGTTGATGTGTGCATGGGCGATATCCGTGTGCCAGAGCCGGCTGATTTCGTGTAACCAAGAACTGTTACACAACACTGGCTCTCGCAGCATTAAATATTCTCCCCTTCCACTGTCCTGACAAGTCTAGCTAGGAGTCTGCTCTAACCCATTTTGCAGGAGTGTGCATGTGTATGTGTGTGGAGATTAAGCATAATGTTGCATGTCGCTGTGAGCAAAGTTGGTCTGTTGTATTTATTTCGATGTCTCTCCCTAATCCCTCTGTGATTGTGCTCTCATTTACATCAGAGCCATTAAAAGCCACTCTGGTATTAGAGGAGAGCAAGAGAATCAGGATGTAAGATCATATTTAGGTCCTTTAAAGTAGTCGGGGTTTCCAAATGACTATTCCTGTAAATCACAGTCCCTCTCATTCTCAACCTGTTGTGTTTGTAGTATTGCAAAATCTTACTGATACTTTGCATGTTCTGTTATTCATGAAATAAAAACAAAACACTGAAAATGTCCCTAAGCATTACATAAAAAATGGTGGTGGACCCTCCCTTGCTTTCACACTTGAATCATTCAAGAATAAAAAGGTTTGTGCTAATCAAACATTGGAGCACAATACAGAATTGCACATGTTAATGGTTGTATTATGACCCATCATTATTCCAAGTTTTTAAAAATCTGTTCTATTCTCATCTATTCCTGGTGGGAAGTAAAACAGAGTCCTTTACATGCACTAAAAATGAGACTTGGGAAACCTGTTTGCAGCTGTAACAAGAGGATTAGCGG